GACCATCGACGTTCGGGCGGGCCACGCGCGTACCTGCACAGCCGCGGCCATGCACAGGATGGCTGCCGGTGATGCGGCCTCCTTGAGGATCCTCACCAGATCAGTTTCTTGGCATCTTCGCTGACTCCGCCCGCATACAAGACGGCAGCCATGGCCTCCACGGCCATCTTGACCCGTCCATGCTTCTCCGTGTCGTCCCGGGTCAGGTAGGGCACCATCTCCGGCGCCATGGTGGCCAGGATCCTCACCGCGTCGACGTGCGCGTCGGTGCCCCTGCCCGCGCACTCCGGCTCCATGGTGGCCAGGATCTTAAGCAATTGTGCATCTCATGTCATGTCGATGTACACGATGCAGAGTGGGAAGGGTGTCAACAGCGACACGGTGAGGAGCTAAAAACATACATAGTCCTTTCATGTTTTCTTCCTCGTTAGTTTTCATAGCTAGTTTTCATAGCGGTTATGTTCTAATAGTATAACCCCGTTGCTACGCACGGGCAATTTTCCTAGTACATGTCAAAGGATGCAACTTATATACAACAAAACCAGACAACTTACAAATATCAAAGAATATTGCATAAAAGTTGGCCGCTTTTTCTAAGAGCATTTATAACACGAACCAAGTAAGCGTCGCTTACAGATATTTGAGCAATTTTTCATGTTGATTTTGACAAAACTTCCCCCTTGGATGCTAAACTATAGCTCTAACTGAGTCAAATACCCCTAAAAAAATCGAAATACAACATCCATGACAAACACAATCGATCAGAATTCAGACTTCACATAATCTCAGTCCAGCAATTTAAAGCCAGACGCTTGTCAATGAGCGCCCCAGTAGGGTATGACGCCCGCGTTGACGCCGACCATAAAGCCAACCCACAAAAAGAGAGCCACGTAAAACAGGCCGGTCGCCAGCGGCGAGCAGAGCCACGGGCACGCCGGCTCGAAGCCGTCGCCCTCGTCGCGCACGCCATCCTCCGCCTTCGGGTACGCCTTCCTAGCCGCCTCGTACTGCCGCTCGTCGTCGAAGTACGCCGCCGAGCCGCTGTGGTACCAGTAGCCGCCCACCGGTCCCTGGAACGCGCCCAGTGGCGGCAGCCTGGGGCACGCCCGCGGCCCGCCGGCGCCGGACCTGGTGACGAGCACGGTGGGGCAGGGCTCCCTGCAGATGCAGCACCGGCGGCTGGCGTGCTGGGACTTGGAGCCGGCGCGCATGCGGACCGCGCAGTCCGAGCAGACCTCGCGGTGGCCGCACGGCCCGATCGCCACCCACTCGAGCGGCTCCATGCACACCCCGCACTCTGATGGCTCGGCGGGCGCCGCGTCGACGTGGCAGGGATAGGCCGGAGACGCGAGCTGGTCGCCGACGTGCTTGGCTCCGCCGACGTCGATGTCGATGACGTGGCTTGGATTGCTTGGAGAGGCGAGCTGATGGCCGGCGAGAGGCCCCGTGTGCTTGGCGCCTCCGCCGACGTCCATGTCGATGGCGTGGCCGCCGTTGCCGCCGTCGACCTGAGCCATGGTCGAGTTTACTACACGATCGATGGAGAGTGGTTACGTCGATGTACCTCACTACCTCTATGCCCTAGACTAGCAGAGCCTGGATTCCCATGGCGCCGCTTGCTAATTGCACCCAATGTCACGTACGTACACGCCATATATAGGCTCGTGATCCGACACCCGGCTGAACTGGCTTCCGGTTCGAATTGACGTGGGGAAGAAGCGTTGATGATCGGAGTAGGAAGAGGGTTAGACCATCGATCCGACTCGACCGTGTCACCAAAGCTGACCGCAGTGCGCACGGGACGAAGGGGATCGATGACAATTTAGTGGATTTATTATTACGTTTATTAAAAAAAGCACAGCAATTCAGTGGATTTACGAGTCTTTCTTTGCAAAAAAATAGGAACTTCATCTAGAAAAAGACATTCAGAGAAACAGTGGGCATTATATCGAGGGGGGTAGAGAGAGCCATACACAGCATCAACAAACATTCAGATGGGTTTTTAATGGTATCGTACATCATCTCTGCTGCTAAGCATATAAGAATGACTTTGACAAAATTTCTACTTTTTCTATCAAGAGGCGCAACGAGTTGCACGGCTGACAAAAATCTTCCGGTATACAAATTCACTTCCCAGTCTCTCTCATCAACCGCGAGAAAATAGTAGTAGAAACTACAAACTAACACTTACGGAACACATGATTAATCTCTAACCAGCGTCAGGATCTCTTAAAACCGCCTTTGCTCCCTCGGCTTCGACTCTGCGACGGTAACCCGGATCTGCCTGCCGTCAAGGTCCTACAGAACAAAACCATGCGCTCAATTAGCATAGCTATTCAGAAAACATTGTGAAGGAACTGTACAATTCACATCAAATTATTCAAACTTGACACTATGAACACAGTAATATACAAGAACTTACCACGCCGTCGAGGTTTGAGATCGCATTGTTGACCTCGTCGGCAGAGCCATAGGTGACGAAACCGAAACCCCTCGACCTGCCACTGTCGCGGTCATAGATGACCTTAGCATCAAGCACCTTTCCTTGTTCGCTGAACAGGTTCTCGAGCGTTGAGTTGTCAACACCCCAGGATAGGTTTCCGACGTAGAGCTTGTTAGCTGAATCAAAGCTGCCGCCGCCGCCACCGCCGCCCATGGTCCTCGGTGTTCTGGGTGCGAATTCATCTCTGGGTGGTGGTGGTCCGGAGTTAACCCTGAGAGGTCTTCCTTGGAACGTCTAATTTGAGAGATAAAAATCAATTAGTCAACAGTCTAATACTCCAACAACTGCACTACATATACAGAAAAACAAATAGTCCCAAACAATCAGCAAAGTTCGCACTACAATGCTTAATTATGCTGGAAATCAGATTTCATGTTTGTATCAGTAAGCTGAACATATCTGAGCATCATTGCTACATAACACTACATGAAAAACAAACACCCAACAATGTATACACACATAGTCATTTAAATCCATGTAATGTACCAAGATAAGGTGGTTTAAAACAGATGAAGTCTGCTTACATAGCCATTGAATTGCTCAACGGCGGCAGCAACTTCCTCAGCTGAACCCATTGTGACGAATCCAAATCCACGGCTCCGTCCGGTCATTCTATCGTATACAACCTGCAAGAAATGAGATAATATATCATTCTGAAAAAATGAACTATCCAAGGCTTAGGGTGCAGCTCTGCTACAATTGAGCATTGATTTGCAGAAGTAATTTACTGAAGCAATTCAAGCTTAGTTCAAGCCAAGACCATTTTAGAACATCTTATCTTATCCTGAAGAAAAACAACATATACTAGTATAACAACTCCACGACCATGCGCAGCTCTGCTGCAATGGAGCATTCATTTGCTGTAGTGATTTACTGAACCAATTCCAACTTAGTTCAAGCTGAGACTATTTTACAACATCTTATCTTATCCAGAAGAAAAATAACCTATACCAGTATAACAACTCCACGTCCATGCGCAGCTCTGGTACAATTGAGCATTCACTTGTTGTAGTGATTTACGAGGCCTCTGAAGTACTGAACCAACTCCAACTTACTTCATGCCGAGAAAAATTTACAGTACCTTATCCTATCCTGAAGGACACAATCTACACACCAACAATTCAACATCCCTTGGACAACCTGACACCACACTGAAACAAAACGTCCCGACTCCGAAGTCTCTATCCTAACCATGCAATGCCCAGCGGAATTTCAATTTAGCCCGTTATAATTCGCGCCAATCTAACTGTTAGTCAACAAGAGCAGAGAGTGTGAATTTATACCTCGACCATCTCGACGGAGCCGGCCTGCTCGAAGAGCCCGGCGAGCTGCGCGCTGTCCACGGTGAAGGGGAGGTTGCCGACGAAGACCTTGAGGTCCTCGGAGTACTCGGCCTCGGAGTCGCCGCCGCCCTCGCCCTCGCTCTGCTCCTCCTCGGCGTCCTCCGTCCCGAACTCGGACGACACGGCCACGGCCACGGGCAGCAGGAGCCGCCTCCGCGGCGCCAGCAGCGCCGACACGGCGCGCAGCGGGCCGCAGGCGAAGGAGGCCGAGGCGGCGGCGGGCCTGGCGGCGGAGGGGAGCGGGATGAAGTGGTGCGAGAGCGCGGTGGAGAAGAGGGTGGCCGCCATTGCAGAGGGGGATAAGACTCGCAGGGGATAAGGTTCTGCCGCTGGGGTTTGGAGGCGAAGGGAAAGGGGTGAGTGTGGGAGTGAACTGTGGAGGGGGTTTTATAGTGTACGGGGACGATGGATGGACGGCCAGCCGATGAGCCACACCAACGGCTGGATATTTCTCTGGGGAGATATTTCTCTGGGGTTGGGATAAGAGGGGCTGTGACCCACTGGCAGTGTGAGAGGCCAGCCAAAATGTTTAGCTGGAACCTGGCTGTATTAATATTTTGGAATTGGATGGGATAATGCACTCTCATCAAGATCTTCTATTTTGCGGCTTCATGATAATTCACCAGCAAGCATCATTTAGCACCAACATTCTTGTTGAAAATGTTTCTTTTCCTTTAGAATTCACACAAAAAAAATGTTTCTTTTAGAGGAACTCTTGCTGAAACTGCAACTGGAAGGTGAAGTGGTAAATACAAGCTGCTCGTACCAGCCGAACAGCAACGAGATACATCCCAGGCTCCCAGCTCAAAATTTTACAGCATCCCAGGCTCCCAGCCCAAAAATTTATAGCATCCCAGGCTCCCAGCCCAAAATATAGGGCAATAGCTTTGACATCATAAACAATCCATGGAATAATACAAAGTTCCGAAAAGTCTCAGGTTCCGAATTCATAGTACTCTACAACACATGGCATGTAAACCTAGGAAGCGTTTTCTCTTGCCTTAACAACAATTTGCTCTTTTGCCAAAAGAAACAATCACCACGGCCATGTAAAATGTGCTCCTCCAAACATCAGGCCTGGCCTCCCTTGCCTACAGAATTTCTACAGCTAAGGATATCTGTTGTGGTTCTGAAAACATGTGTCTGCTCAAATGTCATTCGCTCGCCAAGCTCGCAGGGTCTTTCAAGCGCTCCCGCAATATCTCGCAGAGCTTACTGCAAGCATCCATACAGAGCTCTACTGCCTGTTGATGATCAAAGACAAAGAAGTTAGTATGATTGTTGTTGCTTTGGCATTTCTATATATGAGAGTCAAGCAATTCTAATCGAAGCATCAAGAAATTGTGTATCTCAGATAATGCAGTAGATAGATAACACACATTGGTGATTTTGCCGTCAGTCCACTCCCCAGTCAGCGTAAGTTGTGTAATCTCCTTGCGGGCCGGCATGTAAGATACCATAAGGCCTCCGTCTTGCCATGCCTCCTCGTCTGAGGTTGGATCGATGAGAACGTTCTTCCCTAAACAGGACTGGCAGATCGAAGTTGAAACTGATCAGCTTCCAGTTTAAATATCTCTCGGCAGAAGTACATGTGTCATAAAGCAGAGAGAGTGTGAGGGCATACCACGGATACTGATGTAACAAGGTCATACATCATAATCCCAGCATCTGCCAGTGCAAGACTAGCGCAAGATATTATAATGGGAAGATCGCCTGAAATAAAAGAGAGTGGTAAGGATGACAGTAGTTTCTTCTTTTTATCAGAAAGTATGGTACCGCGGAAAGAAATGGTGGGGGATAAAGGCTTCTGTCAAATAATATATGGATAGAGAATTAGAGATACAAAATGTATCAACAAATGTGATGAAATGCAGACTCAAAAGTAATAACTCATTACTTACCTACCTAAATATGTTCACTTTTCCTCAAATTAGTAATGACTACGAGAAAACAGCACGTTCATACTATGAACTTGTGAGTAATATAACTCAGCTTTAACTTATATTACAAGACCAAGAACATACTGCGTCAGTGACGCTAAGATGAGTAAGAATATGAATACAATTTCTGAATAAGCACTGGAAAATTAATTTAGGAGCATTTCCAAGTAGAAAGATGCAATATGCAACTAGTGTAATATACTGAAAACCAAAAGCAAAGCCATGAATAGTATCATACTGCCACCAGACTCAAGAACCAACGCAAAAACATCAACAGTTGTCTTCGGAAAAGTATGTAGCATTACTGCGCCTTCCAGGGCTTTGTGAAGCATTCCAGAGTACTCCTTGTTTTCCAGCCCCTGAAATGAAGATGCATGCTATCAATCTTTACTTTCAAATATATGTGATTGACTAAGAATATTCTCCAAATAGAATCGATGAGAGCTAATTAAACAGCATACCTGTCCACGTATACCAGTGGCAAATGTTGTATAGCTCACACTGCAATTGAGCCTACCAGTGTCACTGTACAGCATTGCTTTCTTGCTCTCCCTTGGGCCAAACCTGCAAAGATGATAAATAAATAAGCATGACTGACCAACATAGTTTTAAATAGCAGGATATGCCTCTTAGCGGTGGACCTCTTCTAAACGCTATAGCATGCTATAACAATGCTATAGCACGCTATTAAAGTGTGTGTTCATGTGTTTAGACCAGTGCCCCTTAGCACAGGACCTCTTCTAAACACTATAGCGTGCTACAGCATGCTATTTAAAACCATGCTGACCAATCAATCAATAAGATAAATCCAACAAGACTGCACAATCCAATACATCGAATTGACTACAAAGCTAGGAAGCACATGTTGAAGCTAAAGGACTTCAAAGTTCAAGATATCTTTGTGAATTTGAGATTTTGCCTATTGAGAAAGATTTAGCCATGTAGTCAAAACTCTGAAGTGATAACTGATGAGAGCACAAGATTATAAAATACTTGCATGTCTTTGCACACTCAGAATGATAGGAAATAAATGGATTCAAGATGAACATGCAATGTTCTCCGTTGCTTAGCAAAGTATAAGCATTTTTGAGTCCAAACAAAGAGCTTGTAAATATATATCAGTTGACCTTAACTTGGTGATATTTTATTCCATCAACACTCAGATAACTACTTAAATTGTCAATCTGGAATAACCTCCAAGGATGAATTTGGCATACCTCTAAATTTATGTTGAAATAGAAAACTGAAGTAACGGAAGATATATTTTTTCTAGAATAAAATATAAGACATTTATTTCACACTTGCAATCAAAACCATACAACATACATACAATGAGAAAAGAAAAATGATGTTAAACTTACACTGACACAATGACCTTTGTCTTCCCAAATTCTGCATAAGCAGACCCTGATGCAGCAGTAGTTGACCCTGTTTGCATAACTGCAACATACAATTAAATCAAAAACGACTTAGAATTGAAGATACAAACGCAGTTTCGACAAAGTTTATAGAACAATAAGCAATATTTTCTGGTCAAGGTTACGAGAAGAGAGAGGGAGAGGTTGTGAAGCAAACTTTCAGATAATATATCAAAGAAATGTGTGCAAGCATGTTATATATCATAATAATACACACACGCAAAATTGTATTCAGCCCTGAAAATTGTACGGTGTTTTACTACAAGCAAACTGGTTTAGCATATATCTACAAATCACCATGTTTTGAACATTTTATAACTAAAATCAAGCATTGAGAAAACTGGCACAAGGCTAAGCATAAATCCGTCGTGTTCAACACTTTGCAAGTTGAATCCATGCATGTTTTTCGTTCAAAGCAGAAAAGCACAACATCAGTGTAAGGCGAGTGAAGGCTAGAAAAGCCAGCAGGACACATCTAGAATGCTGTAGAAAATCATCATCTAGGGCAAACTGTCTTACACCTTCAGTATTCCCCAAGAGCAATAGCATTATAGCATCATCTGCAGAAACAGATAGCAGAGTACAGATTCTCCGAAGGAACACCGTTGAACATAACATATAACCCTTTGGCTGAGTACTGGAGAAGCACCACGAAAGCATGAAATCCAGGAGTTCCATCATCTAGTCAACTGAAAGTGCAAGTGGCCCATAGTCATGGATCCAATTCAAATTAACAAAGCATCTGTCCAGGAGTGCACAAGGAACGCCAGGCGACAAGCCATGACAGGTTTAGCCTGAATAAATCACTAGCCCAGGAGTGCACAAGGAACGCCAGGCCGCAAGCCATGCCAAGCAACATGTCTGTCAAGAGATACGGCAGCATACATGACACAGGACACACAACAAAACGACGTGGTCACACAGGCATTCCACAGTACAAATCCTAAAAGACCGCAGAACCCAAAAGAACTGGATATCAGCGTTGCATCAGACATGCGCTCACTGCTCATGCATAACGTCGAACACCACAGGTGCTGTCCAAGCAAAGGGACAGGCGCTCAACGGAGATTGTTGAGCACGAAGCAGAGCATTATACGGAGGTGCGCACGCAAGGAATGACATAGAGAGATGCAGGAGTGGGGTAGTTACATGCGGGGCGGCAGTCGTGCAAGGAGCGGCCGTCGGCGCGGGGCCAATCGGCGTCCTCGGCGAGGTGGCGCCGCAGCTCCTCCCTCCTCTCCCGGCGCTTGCTCCCAGCCTCCGCGGCCGGGGAGTACGTGTCCGCAGCTGCCGCCGCCGCCGACATGGCCGGAAAGTGTGTCTGCGTCGCCGGCCGCGCGCTCGAGCAGTGCTAAAACCCTAGGGTTTGTCTGTGCTGTTACGGCGAGGGTGGAGGGATGAGGTCGCTGCTTTTAGATTCGTATAAACGGAAAGCATACAGCTCCGGTTCGACCCAGTGGAACGGCGACCGCCCAGGGCCCCCGGACCTCAGGCCTCGACCCAGTTTTTTCTTGTTTTTCTCTTTTAGAAAACTACTGATTTATTCATTAACTGTCAACGTAGTACAAAGAACACTAGAAAAATCCGTAGACCATCTAACAACGACTACAAGCACTGGAGCGAGCCAAAAACGCGTCACCGTCTTCGTCCCTCTCTCATTGAAGCCGAATTGTTATAGACATCCGGAAAGTCATGGTGCTAAGGACTTATAGGAGCAGCACACCAGAACAGCAATCGCCGTCGATGAAGAAAAGCGTTGATCAAAAGGATTCAGCCTACAGACACACACACATAGACGAATGAAGACAAGATCCACGTGGACCCACTGAAGACAAATGCCGACCGAAATCCCGCAAGATCCATCGGAGACAAATCTTCACACTCCCTTCGACTATGCTAGAAACACCACCGGGACGGGGACTAGATGGGGAGAATTTTATTTCATCTTCAGAGAGTCGTTGTCGTCTCGTCTCTCTGAGCAGGACACAAACTCTTAACAAAACCAAAAAAAAAAAAGCATGAAAAACGGAGTTCTCCCATCGGCAAGGACCGGGATCCACCATGCCTCCATGGTCCTAAAATCACAGAAGACGAGGTAAACCGGTGGTGTCACCGGCGGAAGGCACAAGAAACTGTGAAAACTTTAGACTGAGATTACGCGTGAAAAGATAGACTTTTTACGTTTAACAAATTTCATATTCATTTTCTAATACACATTTAATAATTTTTACGGTTAAGGTATTTTCCCAAATAAGGATTGTCGACATGGCAAGTCGAACCCAGGATTGTTCAGTTCGGCAAGCCCTAGGATGGTCGGTTGGGCGCGGCTCGTGCGTAGAAGTTGGCCTGGCCATAGCGATCCACCCCGTCCATCCTTATTTTGTGTATATTTGGAATATAAATATATATTTATATTTGTAAATAAGGAAAATACATCCTATCACCTAGTAGTAATTACCATCATGCCCCATGTCCTTTATAAATATATATACATTTGACATGAAATTTTGAAAAATGGTAGACATGTACAAAAAAATGTTTCTACTATATACAAAAAAACGTACAAAGTATATAATATACATATATATTTAAAAAATATGAAAAAATGGTAATCATGCATTTATATTTTTTAAATATATATATACTCCCTCCATCCAAAAATACTTGTCATCAAAATAGATTAAAAAAAGATGCATCTAGAATTAAAATACATCTAGATACATCCCCTTTCATCCATTTTGATGACAAGTATTTTTAGACGGAGGGAGTATAATGTTTCTCATGTATACAAAAATTGACAAGGTGTGTGTAAATGTACAATGTGTTTTAAAAAGGTAGACATCAAAACATAAAATGAAAAATGCTAATAATATATTTAAAAATGTCAAACATGCGTAAAAATGGTTATAATGTATATGAAAAATGTACTACATGTATGGAAAAAATAGACATTAAAACATAAATATGAAAAAATGTTCATCATGTATTCTAATAATATTAGACAATGCTCCTGATGTATACAAAAATGTATAAGGTGTATGTAAAAAAGTAGATATAAAAACATATATAAAAATGTTAATCATGTATTTGAAAAATGTTAATTATGTGTATAAAAAATATTCCTGCTGTATATAAAGAATGTATGATGTGTATGAAAAGGGAAAATTGGCATCAAACATATATTTGTAAAAAAACGTTAACCGCGAAATTGTTGAACATGTTTTTAAAAATGTACTTGATGTATACGAAAAATGTGGACTTGTGTTGAAAAAACTCAAAGAAAATTGAAGCAGAAACAAAAGAAAAACTAAGAAAGAAAACATAAAAAAACACAAGAAAAGGAGAAGGAAACAAAAGAAAACAAGAAAACCAGATAAAACCGAGACAAAAATAAAAGGATATAACAAAGAAAACATAAAAAAGGAAGGAAACGGTGAATAAATAAAAGGAAGTGAAAATGAAAGAAAAAAAGGGGAAGCCTGAAACAAGGAGTAATCAGAACAAATGGAGGAATGCACGACTCAATCAATGATCTTAGGGTTTGACTTGCCACATTAGTGAATACCAGCTAAACACTCTTAAGGTTCAAAATAGACCGAGATAATAGAGTTCGGTTTGCTAATTTGGGGGATTAGGTGTTCAGGGTTCGATTTCGCTTGTGTCTACAAGTTCAAGATTTGTTTTCAACTCTTTTTGTATTGTGTACACCAACATTCGCTTCTCAGCGTTCGTGGCCGAAGGTGATGTTTACTATTGGGTTCTTCATGCTCACTCACGATCTCCTTGACTAACCATAGGCGCATGTTCTCCATGACTTCACTCTTCAATATCACGGACTACACCCGCTCAGTCCACACAACAATCATTCTTTCATGGAGATCTTGCAATAAAACATGGAGCTTTATGACTAGCCCGACCCAGTTGTGTAGCCCGACCCAATTGCGTACATACAACAATAATTTGTTGGGATCCAAGTACTACGGACTACTCCCTCTGTCCCACAATATAAGAACTTTTTTGCATTACACTAGTCTTAAAAATGTTCTTATATTATGGAACGGAGGGAGTAGTAACGAACAACAAAGACAGTGGTTAGCACCTTCTCTGACTTAGATAGACTAGAATTCATGTTTCGGGCGAAAGTGGTCATAGGATTGACTCAGACAAAGCGTTAGAAGTCGATCTCCGAATCTATAAGCATTGGTCTACCATCTTCCCTCATCTAATCTCTCAGGCAATAAGAAAGTTGATCCATGTAGCCATAATATTCATACTATTAAAGGCAGATATATATATGTCGCCTCATCCATCCATCTCCACTCCAACTCATGACCTCCATATCCTCACCGTTTTTTTTTTCTAGCTAAACTGCACCTCCCGTTTTGGTTTTCCTACTTTTTTGCTCAAACCAAAAAAGGAAAATGGTTCATATTTTTTTGCTCCCGTTGCAACGCAAAGGCATTTTCGCTAGTTGAGAACAAAAAGGGAAATATATAATTTTTTAGAATCAGGAAAATATATAGCTTTTTTAGCAAAGATTATTAGGGGAGCAAAGAAAAAAAATATAGTTCACTGCAGTGCATTGGCTCACCTTGTGCTAAATGGGCCGGCCCTCCGAGCTCTCCTTGTGCACGAGAACACTGAACTTTGATATTGGGCTCGAACTGCACCTCCTGTTTTGGTTTTCCTACCTTTTTTCTCAAACCTAAAAAAGGAAAACGACTGATATTTTTTTGCTCCCGCTGCAACGCACGGGCATTTTTGCTAGTGAGGACAAAAAGTATAATATATAGTTTTTTTAGAATCAGGAAAATATATAGCTTTTTTCGCAAAGATTTTTTAGGGGAGCAAAGGAAAAATATATAGTTCGCTACAGTGCATTAGCTCACCTTGTGCTAAATGGGCTGGCCCTCCGAGCTCTCCTTGTGCGTGAGAACACTGAATTTTGATATTGGACTCGGCCGGCTCTTAGAAATATGAAGAGGCTGAAAGGGAAACTGCTAAAAAATTATGGAAAACTGTTACAAACAATAATATTAAGAAAATAATAAAAATTTCAAAATATGTTGGCACATGCAGGTCTCGAACTTCGATATTGGACTCGGCCTGCTCTTAGAAATATGAAGAGGCTGAAAGGGCTAAAAAATTATGGAAAACTGTTATAAACAATAATATTAAGAAAATAAAAAAAAATTCAAAATATGTTGGCACATGCAGGTCTCGAACTTCGATATTGGACTCGGCCTGCTCTTAGAAATATGAAGAGGCTGAAAGGGCTAAAAAATTATGGAAAACTGTTATAAACAATAATATTAAGAAAATAAAAAAATAAAAATACGTTGGCCCATGCAGGTCTCGAACCTGCGACCTTCGCGTTATTAGCAAGACGCTCTAACCAGCCGAGCTAATAGGCCTGATTGATTTAATTTGTTTAGAGGTTTTAAAACAGTGAACTGGCGATGGCAGGGTCATTTAGAATTAGCTGTTGGATTCCTTCGTGCTATTTAGATCCCTTGGGATGTGATAAATCGACTAGATATTAACTTTTGATCTGATCTCCCACTAGATTGGACCAATCCAAGATCTTTTGAATCAGCAGCCTTTGCAAGGGTTTGATTGTCTGTAAGAAACGTGACTTCTTGAATCCATAATTCTTGAGCAGTTTCTGCAACAAGGTGGAGCGCTTTCACCTCAGCCAGCATAGGGGAGTTAGCAGCATCTTTATACATGCACTTAAGGATGTCGATTTTGGATCCATCGGCTTTCATAGGAACTCCAATCCATGCATATGTTGGATTGAAATATTGTGAACCCCTGCCTAAAATGTGCCTGTGCAACCTGAAAATTTAGTTTCCTAAGATGGCCCGGTTTACGTCCTCAATTTTTTTTATTTGCTTATGAAGATGAAAAAAATGTTCACACAAATACAATTGAATATTGTTATATATGAAATAAAATACTCATCACATATTTAAATAATAGTGTGTATACAAAAATAAATTTCATTATTTAAAAAAGTACATGTACTTTTAAGAAGGAAAAAAACATATTCAAAAAATATATTCATGCACGTGTGGATATATGTTCATGTACTATAGAAAATTTTGGAAATTAAAAATTATAAAACATAAACAAAGATAAAAATAAAAAAGTTAAACATGGGTAGGAAAAAGTGAAAGGAGAAAAACAGAGGAAAAACCACCTGAAACCGGCAAATGGGCCGGCCAAAGGACGCAAACGATGAAAAACAAAAGCATTGCTCGTAGTCGTTGTGCCTTTCTGGCCCAATTATATCACAAGAAAAGATGGTAGTCATTGTGAGGTGCATGTATGTGGCGGTTTAAGAAGCTGGACCCCTTAAATCTCCTGTACATATCCGGACGGACAGTACGATTACTATCAAGTCACGAAATTGCCACTTAACCGGACCCACATACTCAACTCAAACACCCGGACTGTCCGACACCCTTCAAACCCGGTCCATATGTGGGGGCAAATATGAAAAGGCCAGACACATCCCAAATCACTCCAAATCGTCCGACCTGCCATCTTCCTCTCCTCTCTTCTGCCTTGTATGCACTGACGCCAGCATAGCTCCGACGCTCCGGCTGCAGTCGAAGTCAGTGGTGGTGCCTACGGGTGTCATTCCTTTTTTAGAGGTGTCAATGTTGGAGTCCTCCCCCTCCGAACATATTTTTAGGGAAACCCTAGATCCGGTCTCCCAGATCGAAAGATGGCGATGTTATTAACTTTGCTCGGCATCATTTCGCTCTTGGGGACATTGTCATGGAGTTGGATTCAGCTAGAGGGACTGGGGCTCGCAGAGGTTGTCGGCGACTGCTAGCATGACATCTCTGTGAGGGCGGTAGGAGGACCCTCCACATGCAAGAAGGCAAGGAACGTCAAGCAAGTTATATTTGCCAACCTTGAAGGATTGGGGCAGCCTAAGTTGACTCTATCGGACATATCAATCCTCTCCGGTATCGTCGAGGTTCGCAAACATGCTTGTGTTAGCTTGGTATAATACGACTATTTTTTAGTGTGCCACCTGGTAGCGGCGAAGTCGCTCGAGTGCCTAGTCGGGAGTGACATGGGTGTGTTGGCTTTTGATATTTATATGTATTGTGATGTTTTAGGCCTAGTTTAGCTAGGCGTTGTTTAGCTTCTCGTCCTGTTTTGACTCGATAAACCGAGTAAGCCTTTTCATTTCTATTTTTTGGCACTCGCCTTAATGTTGTGCAATCTTTCTTTGGGGAGGATGTTCTTAATACCCCTATTTTTTTGCGGTTGCTTAATACCCCTTTCTAATGGCTTGTTTTTTTTTTTTGCGGGGTGCTTCCACACACTTAACGGGGGTGGCTGCGCAGCCTCGGACCCTTCTGTAGGTGTCAACCTCACCAAATTTTCCTAGTTCGTACACCGCGAGCAGCTCCGAGGAAGCTTCCTTGTGATGGCGGGACGAAATAGCAGCCTGCTCCGAGGAAGAGATTCGCCGGGAGTCGGTGGCCTCTTTGTTTGTATCGTGTTGCACAGGGACCCAAATAATATGCTCTCAGGTCTGAGGATTGAACTGTCAGGCTTGATTTATCGACACGATTTGGCAGAGACAGATTCGATGACTACGCCAAAAGGCAAGATCATTGGTACGTGAAAGTGAAGCAAACCACCGGTCGATTTTGGGAGCAATGTGTATAATCAAAGATTTAGTTATGATCAATTGGCGAAATCAGTTCGGTTCCATTAATAAGCTCGAGAATTAGTGCGTTAATTTGTTGCACAATCCATCCACCCCCAACTCGTCGCGTGGCAGAAGGAAAAACAGGACAATCAAGAACCCCCATCTTCTGCCGCGCGCCAGCTGAGCGGCGCACCGTGCACCGGAACGAAAAGAGAGGCTGCCTCGGCTCGGCCGATCCGTCAGCAGAGGCCGTCCTCGAGGAACCGGACGAACTGGAACAGGTTCATCCTGCCGTCCCTGGACCCGCAGCTCGACGAGATCATGGCCCTGCACGCGGCGGCGTCGACCTCCGGGAACCCGAGCCTCGCCAGGGCGCCCTGCAGGTCCGCCGCGCCGATGAACCCGTCCGCGTCGCCGTCGAACACGGCGAACGCGCGCCGCACCTCCGCGAAGCTCGGCTCCTCGGCGTCGAACAGCCGTGACACCTCGGCGTGGCCCAGCGTGGCACTCAGACCGTCCCCGGCGGCGGTCACTCCCAGCCCGATCCTGGCCATGATCGCCTCCACCTCTTCCTTCCTCAGCTCCTCGTCCTCCTCCTCCTCCTCAGCGTGGACGTCCTCGCAGCACGGTGCGACGTGCGCCGCCGACGAGGTTGCGTACGCGCACTTGGCGTAAGCGGCCGGCGACGGGACGACGATGGACCTGGCGAAGGACTGCAGGAAGGAGGCGTAGCTGTGGAAGAAGGCGGACGCGACGGTGCCGAGGAAGCCGACGAGGTAGGGGATGAGCTGGAGCTGCAGCGGCTCCCGGAACGAGAGCACGCGGCGGAGGAACGGTCGCGGCGCGGTCGCGTCTGCCATCGCTAGACTTGAGAGTTCACTGGTGTCGAACAAACAGTTGGCGCCGGCTAGAATGGACAATGCTGCGCGCGTGTACAAGGTGAGGTGAGGACGAACGATGGTGTGTGTGAAGACGGAGGGAGGGCGGCAGGGGCGGAGCTAGAAAATTTAGCCATTGGGTTCACTCGTTTTATAACAGCAATGCGATTACCTAGATGGGATTGCTTGCCGACAACTGTGTCCTAGTGACCCCTTTTCCATGGACATCCCGGCTTGTGGGGACAAAAAAAATTCCCATCCCCATCAAGGTTTTTCCTCCCCAAGGAAAAAAATTAGGTTAGACAAACAGGATTAGCTTAAGGCTAATGATTTTTTTGGGACCACATGTGAGGTGTTCATAGGTAAGGTGGGTGCCCGTATAGGTAACACATTGCTCATTGGGTACCATATTTGGCTCATATTCGACCTAGTAGTTTCCTTGTCTATAGGGATGTAGGGCGGCGTCCCGCATACGCCCATAAGAGTAGGGACTAGTTTAAACTCAAACCTAGTCATAACTACGAAACGGGGTGGATCGGGCACCGCCTTTCATCTTTATCGTCTGGATTAAAATTGCTTCATCCCAGCTCCAGCTTCATCTGATGATGGATTCTCTTTGAGAAATGTCGCCATAGTCTAGATTGATCAAAGTTTAGGGGAAAATCAATTAGAAAACTAGGGCAAAGGCGTTGAATTAGGCTACTAGGCTAAATAGGAGATGCACAAGGGAAGAGATGTGGATGTGATTTGATTACCTTCAAATATATACTGCAATTGTCGCTGCCGACCTTTCCTTTGGCGGCCGGATGATGAGCGAACATCACAGGAGAGATCTCGTTTTTTTCCGAGGGGGCACAGGAGAGATCTCGTGATGTGGGTGCAGACTGCAAACAGGGGACAGGGGAGACGAGAGGCTCGCTTTTGTGGCCTGCAGAGTACTACACATTAGCGCATTTAGTTGTGGGCTTTTTTGTTTTGTTTTTTACAACCATTTGTGGGCTTTTTTGTTTGTTTTTTTACAACCATTTATGGGCTTTTGGTTGGGCATTCATCTGATAAATTTTTAAGGGGCCGAAAAGCAGGCTGGTGCGTTCCAAGTTCGATGGGTTCAGGCGTGAGTTTCTATTGGGTTCATAACAAACTCGTACCCATATACACGTACGTGCAGCAAAAAGATCGTTGGGTTCAACTGAACCCAACGGCTATACGCTAGCTCCGCCACTCGAGGGCGGGGGGTTTATATGAGAGGCCCGAGCTCGATCATGGAGTAAACAAGTCGTGGAGGGAGGAAGCTCCCTTTGCATTGCATATTTGCATGGCGTTGTGGAGTTGGCAACTTGGCACGGCGCGCTCGAGGGAAGCTGCGTGCGTGCTTCCCCAGGCGTGAGAGTGATGGTTAGAGCATCTCCAGCCGTTGACCCGTAGGGGGCGTCTAAAATCGCCATCTGGGGATAGCCGGCACAAAAAATCGGCCCAAGGACGAGTTGGTCCCCAGCCGTCGGCCCCAGGGCTGCCCCAGGCGCGTTCAAAAAATAAAAGTATATAGCAAAGTTCGGTAAAGTTCGGCGAAGTTCGGCTAAACACGACAAATTTTGGCCAACTAGGGCATATATTTCGACAAAGTTCATGGATTTTCATTACATATGAAATATATAAACTAATTTAAAAAAGAAACTGGCTGAACGTCGAGTAGTCGCCGTCGTCGCCGCCATCGTCACCGCCGTCGTCATCGTTGCCCTTCTCCTCCTTGACGCGGGCGCCCCTGCTGGACCCGGCGTCGCCATGGCGGACTGGTGGCGGCGGCGACGCATCGTCGTCGTCGCTGTCGTCGATGACGACGACTCCTCCTTCGTCGCGGCCCCGGCGGCGCTCCGCGAAGCGCCGCAGGGAGGCGCACTGGCGCTCCCTTGCCATCTTTAGGGAGTCCCGGCGTGCCCATTCAAGAGCCGCGTCGTCGTCGAGCTCGACCTCGCCGTGCTCCGTCTTCATGGCGGGGAGACCCGGCTCCGCCTTCACCGGCGCGAGCCCCGGCTCCGTCTTTGCCTTGACAAAGCGCGGAGGAGGAGCCGATGAGGAGGCGCGCCAGCCGCCCTCGTTGATGACGATGCCGGCGCTGCGAGTGCGCCGGCCGAGCGGCGTCTCTGCCGCAGGCTCGGCATTGAAGCCGAGCAGCGCCGGAGTGCCGGAGGAGTGCGAGGAAGAGCGCGAGGAGGAGGAAGAAGAGGAGGCGCCGAACCCCCTTGTCGCCCATGGCCCGTCGCATCGGCGGTGCGCCTGGGCGGTCGCCCTCGCCGGGGGGTACGCCAACGGCGGGTTGTTGCCGCCCTCGAGGTGCGTCAGCACGCCCTCGAGTGTGCGGCCGGGGACGCCCCATCACAGGTGGTGCCCCTCGCTGTTCTTCAGGCCGCTGACCACCGCCGCGCCGTTGGTGGATGCCAGCCGCTGCTGCTGACGGCACTCGAAGTACGCCGCCCAAGCCGCGTGGTTGTCGGCGGTGTACTGGGGGAGGGAGAGCTGGGCGTCGGTGAGGAAGGCGCGCATGACCTCGACCTCGTCGGCGAAGTAGGAGGGTTTGGCCACGGCGTCGGGCAACGGGGAAATGGGCACTCCCCCGTTGCTGAGCCTCCAGCCCGTCGGCCCGGCGCGCATGTCCGGTGGCGCTGGGATGTTCACCTGGAACAGGAGCCACGCCTCCTGTTCGCGGAGCATGCGGCGGCCGAAGCCGTTGGCCGCCGCCTCGTCTCCGAGGAAACGCTCGGCCATCGGGAGAGGGGGAGGGAGGGGATGGGCGGCGGCTCACGGGAGAGGGAGAGGGAGAGGGAGGGCTCGGCGGCGGCGCTCGGGAGAAGTAGAGCTCGGCGGCGAGGGCGGGGCTGGTATGGCCACAGGAGAGTGAGGCCACCGGCTTATATAGCCGCGCCGCGCCCGTGTGTATGCGTGCGAGGGAGGGGAGGCATCGGCGGGCCGTCCCGTGACGCGCCGCCCGTGAGGAATCAATGGCAAGGCTGACCGGCGACAGCCTTGCCATTGATTCCCCGCGGAAAACCGATGTGTTGGGGGACGACGAGGCGCGGTGTCACTGACGCGGCTGGCCCGCGGCTTTTTCGCACCAAAACCTCTCGCCTCGGCCCCCCGGCGCGCCGGGTTCGGCCTGGGTCCACCAGCGCTGATTTCGGCCTAGGCCGACGAAAATCGGGCTCCTGGGGGCGCGACTGGACCGTTTTTTTGGCGCCGGCACGAAAAAATCGTCTGGGGGACGCGACTGGAGATACTTTTAGGGGTTGGAAATGCAGCAACACTAATTATCAATGAGTGTATAGAAAGAAAATGGAAAAAGGGATTTCGAAGAATCCTTCGAGAATTAGATCCACTTTATTTGAGTTGCAAAATTCTTGCTATGGATTTCAGGAAATTCGTTGTGTCTCTGGATTCCCGAGAATCCGAAGTTGTCTGTTTGTTTACTGTGCCGTTGTGCAGCTGTAGGAGTTCTATGTGTGTTGTGAATATTAATAATATGACTTGTTGATGAGTATGATGTTTATATGCAGAATAAAGAGCAGTTAGCTGTTTTGACTACATGAATGGAGAATTGGCAAAAAAATAACCATATATGAAATATTAAATAATCTACAAATGTAATGATTGTAGAAACATATTATCCAAAATATGCCTATGAAACATGGCATCCAAATAAGCATGAACCATCATAGTCTTACATATGAAAAATATCCTTTAAAATATGCACTAACCATCATAGTTTTACATGCGCACATATCATCCAAAATATGCACCAATGATCTTAATCTCATCAAGCAATATGTCAAACTATGGTTGATCCTCCAATGATCATTTAGCAATGGACTCACAAGTTGCTTGCATGGTTGTTGGAAATATGCCCTAGAGGCAATAATAAATTGATTATTATTATATTTTCTTGTTCATGATAATCGTTTATTATCCATGCTAGAATTGTATTGATAGGAAACTCAGATACATGTGTGGATACATAGACAACACCATGTCCCTAGTAAGCCTCTAGTTGACTAGCTCGTTGATCAATAGATGGTTATGATTTCCTGACCATGGACATTGGATGTCGTTGATAACGGGATCACATCATTAGGAGAATGATGTGATGGACAAGACCCAATCCTAAGCATAGCACTAGATCGTGTAGTTCGTATGCTAAAGCTTTTCTAATGTCAAGTATCATTTCCTTAGACCATGAGATTGTGCAACTCCCGGATACCGTAGGAGTGCTTTGGGTGTGCCAAACGTCACAACGTAACTGGGTGGCTATAAAGGTACACTATGGGTATCTCCGAAAGTGTTTGTTGGGTTGGCAAGAATCGAGACTGGGATTTGTCACTCCGTGTGACGGAGAGGTATCTCTGGGCCCACTCGGTAGGACATCATCATGTGCACAATGTGACCAAGGAGTTGATCACGGGATGATGTGTTACGGAACGAGTAAAGAGACTTGCCGGTAACGAGATTGAACAAGGTATCGGGATACCAACGATCGAATCTCGGGCAAGTATCGTACCGCTAGACAAAGGGAATTGTATACTGGATTGATTAAGTCCTTGACATCGTGGTTCATCCGATGAGATCATCGTGGAACATGTGGGAGCCAACATGGGTATCCAGATCCCGCTGTTGGTTATTGACCGGAGAGTCATCTCGGTCATGTCTGCATGTCTCCCGAACCCGTAGGGTCTACACACTTAAGGTTCGGTGACGCTAGGGTTATAGAGATATTAGTATGCGGTAACCCGAAAGTTGTTCGGAGTCCCGGATGAGGACGTCACGAGGAGTTCCGGAATGGTCCGGAGGTAAAGAATTATATATAGGAAGTGCTATTTCGGCCATCGGGACAAGTTTCGGGGTCACCGGTATTGTACCAGGACCACCGGAAGGGTCCCGGGGGTCCACCGGGTGGGGCCACCTACCCCGGGGGGCCACATGGGCTGTAGGGGTGT